GGTTCCGAGTTTTGGAGCTCTGCCCTGGATCTGCGTTGCCTGGTATTCTGTGGTATGGCTGATGGAGAACTTCACTGCACCTCCACCCTAGTGGCCATCAAGCCCCGCCTCCTCCCAAAATGCAATTGGTTGAGAACTGATGTTCTGCCATGTAAACTATCACTCAATTTACAATAAAAACTTTATTTTTAAAAAGTGTTCCTTAAAATTTAGGATGGTTAAGACTTGTCTTTCATTGTTAGAACATGTTAGGAGGAATCTATCCCTGGAGAAGGACAACATGCTTGGTAAAATGGAGGGTTAGCAAAAAAGAGGAAGACATACAGTGAGGTGGATTTACACAGTGGGCTCAAACATAATTGTGAGGATGGTGCAGGACTGGGCAGTGTTTCCTTCTGCTGTGTATTGGGTTACTGTGAGTCTATACTGACTCAATGGCAGTAACAACAACAGCCAGAAGATCAAATAAATCTGTCTTTGAAGAAGTACAATCAGAGTGTTCCTTAGAAGTAAGAATGGGAAGACTGTCTTATGTACTCTGGACATGTTACCAGGAAGGGCATCGTGCTGGGTAAAGCAGAGGGTCTGTGAAAAAGTGAGACCCTTAAGGAGATGGACTGACACATGGCTGTAACAAGCAGTGTTTTTATTCTGTTGCACATTGGGTTGGTATGAATCAGAATCGACTCTATGGCACCTAACAATATATATATATATACTTATCTATAGACATACACTGTTGTTGTTAGGTGCCATTGAGTTGGTACCAACCCATATCAACCCCATGCACAACAGAATAAAACACCACCTGGTCCTGTACCAACCTCACAATCACTGCTCCACTGGCTTCCAAGGAGCATTCTTCTGTACTTCTTCCAACACAGATTATTTGTTTTCTTGGCAGTCCATGGCACTTTCAATATTCTCCTCCAACACCATAATGCATCAATTCTTCTACAGTCTTCCTTATTGACTGTCCAATTTTCACATACACATGAGGTTATTGAAAATACTATGGCTTGGATCAGGTGCACCTTAGTCCGCAAACTGATCTTTGCTCTTAAACATTTTAGAGAAGGATTGTGCAGCATGTTTACCTAATGCAATACATACTTTGATTTCTCGATTGCTGCTTCCACAAGTGTTGATGGTTGATCTGATCAAAATGAAATCTTTGACCATTTTAATTTTTCTCCATTTGTTGTTTATTGGGCCAATAGTGAAGAATGTTTGTTTTCTTCACATTGAGGTGCAACCCATACCAAAGGCTGTGGTCTTTGATCTTCATCAGTAAGTATTTTAAGTCCTCTTTGCTTTCAGCAAGCAAGGTTGTATCATCTGCATGTTGCAGGTTCCTCCAATCCTGATGCCACATTCTTCTTCATATAATCCAGTTTCTCAGATTATTTACTCAGCATACAAATTGAATAAATATGGTGAAAGAAAACAACCCTTGTTCTGTTCAAACAACTGTCTCTTAGTCTATATACAGGTTCCTCACGAACTCAATTAAGTTTTCTGGAATACTCTTTCTCCACAGCGTTGTCCATAGCTTGTCATGATCCATACAATTGAAAGCCCTTGTGTAGTCGATAAAGTACAGGTAAATATCTTTTTGGTATTTTCTGCTTTCAACCAAGATCCATCTGACGTCAGCAATGATATCCCTTGTTCCACATCCTAATCTGTATTAGTGTGGAAGTCCTGCTGAAACCTTGTCTACCATGAGTAACCCTGCTGGTATTTAAAATACCGGTGGCATAGCTTTTAACATCACAGCAACACAAAAGCTATCATAGTATGACAAAGTGACAGACAAGTGGTGGATTTATTGAGGGGTGGTGGCGGTGGTACTTGTGTGCTGTGGAGTTGGTTCCAAATCATAGCGATCCTATATAGGGTTTCCGAGACTGTAACTCTTTATGGGAGCAGAAAGCTTCATTTTTCTCCTATGGGGTGGCTGGTAGATTCAAATTGCTGCCCTGTGGTTAGCAACCCAATTCATAACCAACTACACTGTACTGGGTCTTCCTTGTATTTATTAAGTAGATACTGTAAAAACGGAAATTCAGCTTCTGTGTATGTCTTAATACATGTATGCTCTATTGACTGTAGAATATAGTTTTTCCACCCACAACAGTGTCTTAATTCCTTGAATCTAGGAAAAGACCCAACTTACTCTTTGACCTCTCACAAGCTCAATAAACATGGGCATTGACCAAAAGAGCGGGAAATACAGTTTTCTGAGTTTAATTTTTATTGCTGCAAACAGAAATAAGGAGATCTTAAAAGTTATATGGGTACATTACATCTTACAGTTTGTGAATTTCAAAAACCTCATTTTGATTATTTTCACACAGGAGTCCTGGTGTACGACTGTTAACCACAACGTTGGCGGTTCAAATCTACCAGCCACTCATTGGAAACCCTATATCGGGTAGCTATGAGTTGCAACCGACCAGATGACACTTAACAACAGCAACTACCTAGATTGAATAAGTGCTAATATTGGTAAAGGGGTTTCATTTATTATTTAGCTGAAATATTTAAAGTAAATCTCAAACATCGTATTTCTCCTTCAAGCATTTCCACATACAATCTCTAAATAATGACATTTCCTTACATAACCATAATACCATTATAACACCTAATAAAATTAACA